CACTGAAATGGAGGAAACCATTTATATTGGGTGCTTCCCATCACCCCATTAAATATAATCCCACAAATGAGATTTCCTCCTCACATCCATTTCACTACAGAACATAAAAAGCTACAACCAAAGGTAGCCACTGCATAAACCAAAAGTAGTCAGTACTTCACTAACCTTATGTATTGGTTTTTCCACTCATGGTCAAATTAAATCCAGGTTTTTCTTTTTTGGGTAAGGTTTTTTTCTGCATTACACATTACAAAATAATTAGAAAATATCATAGTACTGTCAGAACAGTACGCCTGCTGCTGACTCTCTGAACAGAACTAATTACTTTGCACAAACTTAATGGATGGTGAGGTGCAGTGATGGACAGCACTGTCAACAGTAATTTAAACATGGGAAAGAAAACAGCCTGAAGTCAGCATTCAGTATGTGCATACAAGCCTGTCATCCTGCCACTGAAGCTGGGTCATCACATGAAAAACAAACTGTTAAGACTTTCAATAAACTGAAAGATTGAATCAAATTGACAGGAACAAACTAAATAGATGCAAATGAGTGTACACTTCCAATATTTATATTATTTTATGCATTATTTTCTTACATGTTTGTGTGTTAATGTTTTATTTATGTATTCAGGTATAATATGATGAGAAAGTATCAAAACCACTAATGTCAAAGGCCCAGAACTTTCAGATATATCAGGACAAACCCCTTGAGGTATATTATCTTGTGTTGAAAGGTGTCCCAAAACAAACATTCACAAAAACAAAACAATACAGAACACAAGGAACAACACAACAACATGCAAAAGAAATACTCAATAACAAAAACAGAAAAGAGTTACAACCTTAAGAGAGACACTATCATAACAAAATGATCTATATTAACTAGTACTAAATAATCGTAGAGCAGCAGTAGTGATAGAATTACTGAAAACACATGCAATTTATTTTAAGAAAAGGGACAAAAACATATTTAAGGAAGCCAAATGTAGACAGAGAATGAATATGTATAGGAACATTATTCCAGTCTGAGGGTACCCTAAACAGAAAAGCTTTGTTTAACCAATTTACTTAGAGACAGGGGGACATAAAGGAGGAGCTGACCACATCATCTTAGCCAGTAATTTGAAGCATAAAAGACAAAGAATTGTTTAGGGCAACAAGGATACTTTTTGTATCAAGTGTGAGCAATCTGCTTCATAATTTCACTGCATCTTCACTGTATTACTCACTACGCTGAATCAATCTTCCTTCACCATGTCTGTGTGTTGCTGTGTGTGTGTGTAACGTTGCTCTGCAGCTCTGGATTGAACCAATCCACAGTGCAGTAACAGTAATTAATGTAATTGCATAGCATTCTTTGGACTTGCAACTTATCTAATAGAGAGAGGTATTACTCTAGTACACATTTACATCAGCAGCTGGGTAGCATTTACGTCACAGCCTACAGAAGAACTCAGTCTGGCCTAAGTGAATTCCCCCCATGCAGCGTTGATGCGTCTAAAAGCAAAAGCTCTTGCCTGCTGCACTGCCGCGACAAAGCGAGGTAAACAAAGCACTTTAAGATACCTGCTGCTCCGGCGTGTCTTTGTGCTCACATACTGTCTCTAAAAAAAGGGTCACTTTTTAATTAATTCTCCTGATGCTTTTAAAGACATCATGTAGTCTTTGTTGCAGCATTGACTTACCGTTATACTTACGCTATGTTGTTGACATTGTTGCTAGGCTACAGTAATGTTAACATTAATCAATGAGTCAGCAGCTCTGTTCAATCAGGGAAGCTAGCTGTGGTACCAGTGCCAAATCTGATTCAAAAATGGACTGGACAAAATTATTGTTTTTTCATCTGCATGTGTGTTGACTCAGCAGGGATGATGAACATTTCCACGAAAAATTGATGCAGGAAAGACTGAAATTGGTGCTGAAAAATTCACCAGAATGCAGGGGGGGGGGGCTCCCCCCGAATATTTTGAGCATTAAACTTAATATCTTTCAACTAACAGATTTCAGGATTCATGATACAGACTCTATTGTCACTGTATCCAAAAAACAACAAAAAGCAGTTTAGAGAAAACATTGAACTTAGCTTGATATATATATAGGTTATATATATAAAAACAATCCTGTAGGAGGACCCACCCACATATTTTTTGCTTCTGACGCCCATGTTAAGAACAGAGTATGTCTGTTGCTTTGTATCTGTTAACATCTAGGCTTCTTCACTGGTTGTTGACATAAGTTTTGTTCTAACACAGTAACAAAAGAAGCGAGTGCAAAGATTTTGCAACTGTAAGTTACGCATACCCTGGGGGCTAAGCCCCCTCTATTTTTCAGTCCTAATGATGTCCCTGCTCAGTGCACTTTGCTGCCCAGAGAAAGCTTCCTAATCCTGGAGAGCAGCAACAAGCACTGGTGACTGGAGTCCCGCTGCAGCTTGGGAGAAACTGGCTACATCCTAGCCTCATGCATAAAAAAAAATACAGCCAATGTCAATCCGTCTGAGCCCCTAAAGGTGATATTTTTATCTTGTATCTTGTGCAAGTTAATTATCTTTCAGGTAGTTTGTACTGTCTCTGAATGTCATAGTCCATAGCATCAAATTGCGTTCCGTGTAATACCAACCCTTTCATGCCATTTCAGTGTAGTTGAAAGTCGCCTGATAACTCTGATTGCAATCTCTGGGTTCTGGTGCTCTAACATGTTTTTGTAATACATAACCTGGTGCATTCACATGCTCCTTGGATGGTCCAATTTCTCAACTTGGGAAGTCGTTCTTCGGACTTTGGTTCAGCTATAACATCAGCAAGGATCTGCCGTTGTTTGCTTTTTAACGCTCAATTTAGATTTGTTGTTGTTTTACTGATACTCAGGTACACAGCTTCTCCACTGTCTCAGTTGCTGTAACTAACTTGACCCACATAATACACAAAAACAGACACGTGCAGAGGGGGGTGCAATGGGTGCTTGAGCAGCTGCCCTTTTGCCCTTTGCTGCCCAAAGTGCCCTTTTTTCAAACGCAAAATTTCCTTCATTTTATTTATTTTAAAAGTTGTAAAGGCCCTTTTGTGAAGGCCTGTCCGATCAAACTATCAGTAAAATGAATTAATAATAATTTCGCAGTAAATAAAATGACCCAATTGATGACCTTTCATCTGATGACCTCATCCGTGACGAGCCCTCCCGTTCAGGCACCGTTAGTGATTCAGCACCACTGCCTACAGGGCACCTGTGATTTCGCCAGTAATCCTGGGTACACACCAAAACATAATCTGGCCGACAATCCTAGCTATGTCCCGTTTATCTCGATGGTTCTACAGATTATCTTATCAGATTCTCCCTTGGTGTGAGGTGTGTTAAGAGTGTCCGAACCTGATCGGAAGAACGTCGGAGGCGCCCCGCCGACAGCTAACGTTACTTCTACACTATTAACAAAGGAGAAAAGCTTCACGGGCGTTGAGAGGTCTGATCTGTTCTACGTAATTTGACTAAAATCTTTGCACTTGAACTAGGATTATTAAAAAGTAACTTAATAAAAGCCTTGTGCTACAACAACATTGGAAAAATTCTAAGCCTATTCCTCCGACTTATAGCCTACTTCAAAAAAAATCATTTAATTCAGAACAGTATTAAATATATTTACATTTTGACAGCAACAGTAGTGTTTACAACAGCTCACCTACAATAAAAACTCAATAACTGGAAATACATTTAAAAATGTCAGTGCCAATGTAAAATAAATAATATTCCTGACATCAAAGTAAGAGTGCAGAAGAAATGTATGAATTGTTATATACATAATATATGATATATATTAGCTGATTTAACAAAAGATGTAGAGATTGTTGAGTGTTTGGGACTGGCTCACAGTGACTGACCTGCTGTAATACTGCAGCTACTACCAAGACTGACTGCTAGGGAGACGCTCACAGAGCTGCAGGTAGTATATATCCTATAGTTGTTTTAATATCTGTAGTCACAGATCACCTCCAGTAGTATCAGCAACAACACAACAGCAGCAGCAGCCGCATCCGTAGCAACCCCTCAACAGCAACTGTTCCCTGTAAGTTATGTCATCCCACAGTGTTTAAAAGCTAGAGTTGGGTATTCCCTGTTTCTTTTTGCGTCACCGCATTTGCTGATGTATCGATACAGAAGCATCTGTATATGTGTGTCAACAAGGAATACATAACGATATCTTTCTATGTCAATAGTATGAGAAGAGTCCTATTTAAATCCTTGTTCCATGTGCCCTTTTTATACTTTGAGCACGGCCCTGCACAAAAATGCAACATAAAGTGTCGGACAACACCACAGTACAAGACCCATGCACTAGAGTAAAGTTACTTAGTGCGGTCTAACTGTTATAAAGTGTAACAACAATCTCATTTATAATATTCAGTCTAGCTTACTAACCATTTTTGTTATCATCCAATACATTTAGCTATGCTGACATTGCTGAGCCTCCGGTGAAAGATACACAAATAGTTATCGAAAAGCAGGCAGGCGAGCTAACGCCGGCTAAATGCAGTCACTGCAATGATATTATGTAACCAGCATGAATTAGTTCAACCTCAGTCTGATAAAAATATTAATGTAACATTGCCGTGGGAGCTGAAATGAGTTTCCAGCATGTTGTGTGAAGCTGTCTCCCGATGTGTCATATTATTCTCGCTCATGTGTTCAAGCACGCATACAAGCACACACCAGGTTGCAATCTAAAACCACACGACTAGTGGCCGCTGGAAACTACATATGGCCGCTTTAAGATATTAAAACAAAAACACAGTTTAATTATCTAATCTAAATGATATTTCTGGGATACAGAGGAATATTTTGCACTGGCAAAAATGACTTCTAGGCAATCAGTATTTCAGGATGGACTTAATCTCAAGGTAATGACGTTTTTTCAGGTTCATGTAACAAGATGTTTCAGTTTTGTTCTTTAGATAACAGGCATAAATTGAGGTTCCATACTTGTCTACCAGAACAACCTTTTCTCACCTGTCTGTAGGACACATAGATAGGTCTGCTGAAGATGATCCACTCCACCACCTTACTGCAGGGCGGAGTGGTGAGAGAGCCCGTGTAGCGATAGTAACTTCCCAGCGAGGACGGCAGCATGTCCTTCAGAACAAATGGCTCCAGGACAGTCTCTTTTTCTATATGAGAGAGGACAGGACAAAGTGTTGAGATCAATACAACATGATCTACACAACAATCCTCATTTTACTGCAAACTACGGCGACCAGGCTTTCTGGAGCAGATCCAAGTGCTACTGTTTCCCAGTCTTTAAGTTTACCCCATTGATTTCATTTGCATTTTGCCTGCCTCGTTCAATGCCCCATTATTGACAGACATAATTGCACGGAACACCTATAATTATACCTCTCTAGGTGTTGGAAGGCATACACAATACAATCTATTATCTTTACAAACTTTACAACATCACATCCCCAAGCCCAAATGTTGACACAGTGGAATTATTCACTAACAATGTGTGCTCCAAACTTAAATATGACCTAACACACAATAAGGAGGAACAAAATAAGGCTGTTAATGAAATCATAAAGGATGCTTTAAGGAAGAAGTATTACTTTTCAAATCCAGTCCTGACCCCTCAGAATTTGGCATTTCAAACAAAACAATTAAGGTAATCTAACAAACACATTTACAGTGTAACTGTTTTAAATTTTTTTCTCTGAATGGTTGCCTGAAGAAGCTTTTGAAAACTCATCTCTTCCGAGAACACTTTCTCTTATAACACCTCTAACTCCTAACCTTCAACATGCACTTCCTGTGCTCTTCTTCTATTCCCTTACAATTTTCTTGTATTGATATGACTATTCGTTAACTGTTTCCTTTAGCCCATTGATGCCACACGTGCTAACAGCTGTTATTAGTATTTATTGCTGCTCTTACAAGGATCTATTGTCACTCGTAGATCTCTTACCATGTATTGATGCTTTATTGATACTTGTATGTTGTTCCTCAAAGTTGCTTTGAATAAAAGCATCTGACAAATGAGTAAATGTAAATGTAATCTGTGGGTGTGCGGAAATAGGGAAAGAGTGTAGACAATTAGTTGCATTAGCCTGGTCAGTAGTGAATGAAAATATATATTTAGCCCAACATCAACAGTTTATCTCAAAAAGTCTTGAGTCGAGTTCAGGTCTCAAATTTTGCTTTGGCAGTTGGTTTTCAGTTGGAATAGGTTTTAACTATGTGGATACAGACCCAGTCTGGGTCTCACTTTTAGGCCCATGTAGAACCCTAACAAGTGGAAATCATTGTTGTTGCTAAGCTATGCTAAAGTGGACAGTAACCTGCAAGCTATGTCTTTATTTAGCTTGCTAACAAAACAAGAAAAGATAAAATTGTCTCATACGCAACATCTAGAGCAGGGGTTGGCAAATAAGTCTGGCATCGGGCCAAAAATTTTTCAAGCCGTTACATGGCGGGCCAGAACAAAGTCAAATTATTTCAAATCCTTGTATACTCGTGTTCACACTTAGCTCAGTCGGTACTGGGTGGGTTTTCTCCCTTGTTAAAAAAAATGATTATAAGGACACTTTTGCACATGCTCACCATAAAGCATGTGCTGCAGTGTGTGTGCACATCTGACGGCTTTGTCAGAGGTGTGTCAAGCAAGCTAGAGTCTCTTGTGAATGCCCTTCAGAACTCTTCAAAGTAAAAGCTCTCAATAAACTCAGTATAAGTAGTGCGGTAATTCTTCAAGTTTCTGTAATGATAGAAAATGCCTTTCGTTATTTCCGTCATCACCATATCACTTATCTGCTTGAGACAAACACTTGAGGAAGGACAGAGCGTGACAGGAGCAGGGAGGAGTTGTCAACAGAGGAGAGAAGAAGAAGGAGGAGGAAGTGAATTGTGAGACAAAGGGAAAGGTAGGGAAGGGGGGGTTGAAGAATAAAAGTAAGAAGCCGGCAACAAAAGAGAGAGAAGAATTGTGATGAGAGGGAGGGGAGGAGGAGAAGGCATTCAATCTGCTGTTCCAAATAAAACATGTGAGGAAAGAGAATGACAGGAACAGAAAGAAAGGGTGAGGACATGTGTACAAGTGGCACCCTCTCGTCTTCCTCCCCCTTCCTCTTCTTCCTCTTCACCCGCTGACAACGCTTGTCTCCTACTGCCTCCCCAATGCCAAATTCAGAGATGTATTTTCAGCTCCATTGAATCCGCGCGACAGAGTGAGCCAGGGAAGGAGAATAGTCGGAGACAGGGTGGGGTAATAGCAATGGGGTGAGGGTTGGTGGGGTACACTTGGGGAATAGAGAATGACGAGACAGGCCTTCTCAAAGATTAATGCATCTAAATTAGTACTCTCAAGAACCGAACGCACACGGCATGTCTCGCTTTAAACACAAAGCTCAGGAAACATATAAAAACGCAAGAGACAAAATTTCTTGCTCTTGTATACATTCTACACCGCATGCAAGCAGCGCGTGGAAGAGGAAAAGGATGAAGATTTAGCATGGCAAAGCAGCTTGTGCAGTGACAGTCTTTGGATCCCACCCAGTGCTTGAAGTGGAAAAAAATGGTGTATAAAAGTATAATGTTAGTATCATATTAATAGATTTACACTTTATTTGGATAGTCTGCCTACAGATGGAGAATTTGTAATATTTAAACAGCCTTGTAGTTGAGATTCAACTGTTTCACAAACAAAACCATTTTCTGATATCTCACCCCTGTGGTTAAGGTTTGATTAGGGCTGATGTTAGTGTATTCATTATAATTTCAGATAACGCACCACTAGTAGGCTACAATTCCAGTGGAACAAAACAGTCGTTTCATATTTGTGTGTTGTTTTCATTCATTAAATTATCGTACAAGAAAAATGCTCCACATGGTAGTAAGTCTCTAGTCAAACGCAGATATTACGGATTTCAACACCTTGATTTCAATCTCCAATACCTTTATCTGCCTAATTAAATTAGTTTAAAGAGAGACAACATTTTGTTGTCGACTAAAACTAGACTAAAAGTATGAGGGGTAAAAATCACACTAAATGTGAAATAAAAAAAAGCAATTTTGTCTAAAGTCAAAGACTAAATCTAAAATAGATGCCAAAATAAAAGCATGTAGTCAAAAACAAGTTGATGCTGTGTCACACCTATGAGAGCTGGCATACAGGCCAGGGTGGAGATTGGTCTTTGTAGTACTTATACATCTGTGTATTTAGTGTATCTGAGTAGCCAGAATGGGAAATAACAGTGCATATGTTGTTGATAACATTGTATTCTTCCTTAAGAAGCTTAAACACATGGCAGTTTAAAGATTTCATGGGTTTCCAAAGCCCCTGCAACACAGGGGAAGGAAATTGAATTGGCAGACAGCTGAAGAAGATTGTTTTTTGAAGACAAATACAGATACAGCCAGTAAGCAGCCAACCTGAGGGCTTGCTTTTCTTGCAGAAAATGAATGTCATTTAGCATGTGTGGTAACATGATGACTTTTTTTGTCACAGTTTTATTGAATCTGTCTTATCTTGTGCCACACCTGGTTTGACAGCTTGAGATGGAGCAAAATAAGCACTGAGGTTACCAACACGGCTGGAGACTTACCCTGAAAGACAGATAAACTCTGACCAGCCATCAATTTCTGAATGTTGTTGTTTTAAAATGTTTAATAAGACCAAACTATTCTTCTTCTGAAAACCATTTCAAAGACCAAGATCAAGATTTGACGTGAGTGTTAGAAGCAACTGTACAGCTCAGTATCCTTGGATTATGTTCATATTGGGCGGTTCTGGAGGTCACTAAGACTAAGATGGTAAAACATGGTAAACCTAGTACTACATAGCATGTTAGCATTTGGCTGGTTTCCATCCAAAATTAGAAAAACGTTTTTTACCCTTGGCTGAGGTGGAAAAGTTGGTTAATTGATAAAAGCAAAATGTGGGAAAGTGCAATAGAAACAGACATAAAGCGTGTGACTTTAATGAATTGAAGCTGATGAGATGAAAGAGAAGAAAAATGAAAAAATTGAATGAGGAGACAGTAAGGTTCCTCAAATTAATACAGGAAACAAACATAAAGAGCATTATAGTTTTTCTATTTTACCTTTTTGTAAGGCATGACATTTTCATGTATGGCTGAAAATGAACAATATTCCATTTCTAACTGTATCTTTTAGCAGCCTAAAATAAGCGCCGGTGTCAGAATGAATTTGGTGGGGGGGGTTTTGCCTCTGGGTTACCATGAGCACACAATCATTAAGCCTCTATGATGAAAGAATGTAAATACAGTAGTGTCATAACTTCTTTTCTTTGAGTTCTGAATTTCTGTGGAGAAAATGGGTCTCGGAAAAGTCATGTAGGGACAGTGACGAGTGTTCTTTTAAAAAGCTGAGAGATTTCCGTTCTAAATCCCGGAGTGTTTGAGGGTAGTTTAAAGAATAAAAGAACCAGAGACTCATTAATCTGCACTGCAGTTAGATTGCTTCATTTGCACATTAAATTAGGTGGCATTTTATGCCTGGATGAGAACTTTGTATTTTGCCGTGATAAGTGGATTTTTACTGCAAAACACTAAGCTAGTGACTTCCTATCCAGTCTTCTAAACAGATGGTGTATGTTGGGAATTATTGTGTGGGTTTATTAGGATTTTACGTTGTGTTTTTATTGTTATTTTATTGCGTGTTCCTATTGTAAAGCCTCAGAAAATTCATTTGAGTGCTTTATGGTCATGAACGATTCCCAGCGTTTAGCCATGGCATTAGTTTTGCAGAAGGAGTTGTCTTTTTTCGTGTGAATTTCCTTTTTGACACTACACAGTAAGTACATCAGAACATTGTGTTGTACAAAATTGTTGTTGTGTGCAAAGATAGTCGAGATATTGAGGCATTTGAAATGTCTTTTCTTGTGTATGTGCATGTCTGAAATGTTAAAAAAAAAAAATATATATATATATATATATAAGGCATTCTATTCTGAGAGAGTGTAGGGACTGTAGAGCTGCTAACCCGGGGGCTCATATCTTGCTGGTAACGGGTGCCACGTAAATACTGAGTAGCGGGGACATTTAGATCGCCAGCCAAACAATTTAATCACTGCATCCATTGCTACACACTGTTTGGTGCATTTATTTTATTTAGTAGTGGTTTTAGTAACTTAAAGGACTAGTTTGACATTGGGGAA